ATCTCTTCATACTGAGAGAAGTGACTCCCAAGGTTTCCTCTGAGTTAAAAATCAAGCATATCAGACGAAACATCAGTGGATTCTTTTTTACTATTACTTTTTAAATCTCAGAACAGAGGAAACCTTCCTAACTATTCCACCAAACAGGCGTCAAAACAGATGGGTAGCCTAGACTTTTTTTCTGCCCAAAACACATCAAAAGCAAAATAATAAAACCAATAATGAAGGGAAAATTGTGTGCAAGTCATCTACTACAAAGAGCTAATTTCTCAGGACATGCTAAGAAACCTACCATTAAATAAAGAAAAGGCCCCCAGTCCAACAGGAAAATGGGCAAAAGAGAGATACAAAAAATCCCCAGAGTCTCTGGTGGCACAAGGGGTTAAGCAACCGCACTATGAAGCAATCCACAGCCTCTGCAGCATGAGTTCAATCCCTGGCAGGCCAGGGAGCTACCCACATGGTGCAGCAGACCTCTGTCTTGCCCCCTGCTCCCCTCAGCAGTGTACTTCAGTCAGTCTGCCTGTTCTGCTCCCCGCTCTGTCTCTGGTGAGTCCTCTCACCCCCTGCATCTCTGGCCTGTACCCCAGCTCTTGTATGTATAAATCAATAAATCTTTTTAAAAAAATCCCCAGGGAGGAAAACGTAAGTACAAAGATGCTTAAGCTCCCTCCTAATGGAATGCACTAACATATAATAATTAGAAAACATAATCTATTCCTGTGCTGATGAACAGTTTTGATTAATGCTGGTTTGGAATATTCCTAGTGAAAAGCTTCCCTGATTGTTATACTTTTAAAGAAATTTAGCCATCCTCACGTGGGCAAGTGACACAAACATGGATAAGATTTTAGTAGGTGATAAAGTTTATATTTTAACCAGTAAGGGAAGTGAATTGTTGACCTAACATTCATAATTTATCACCTCTCCCACCATCATTTCCCTTAGGAAACATTCATTGTTTAAAAGATTCGGAAAATACAGAAAAGCACAGAGAAAAAATAAAAGTCATCAGTAAACTCTCAGGAGACAGGCTCTAGGCCGTTTGCCATCCTATTTGCAGGGCGAGTGAATTTGTTTCTACTCCTGTGCCTAACCAGGGCCAAGCTGGGTATACTGTGCTGGGGTCCCCAGACAAGAAGGACCCCGCCACTGCCCCAGAATCCCCCCCAGGAAGCAGCTTGGCGGGATGGGACATGGGGAAGGGGTGGGGGGCGTGCCCAGCACAGCGTTTATGGACCCAAAATTCATCCTAGAGCTAAATATAAAAAGTGAGATCATAAGATTTGAGAAAGACCTTTCTCCAACCAACCTCTGCTTCCAAGTTTCAAGTGGGGCATGATAAGTGGGGTTCCCTTTCAGCATCTCTGCATTCATTGCCTTTCTGAGTTTCATTTGACTTTCTAGATCCCTCTGAAACTTGGAAAATAGGCAGAGATTTGGGTTTTCCTTAATGAAGGAAATTTGGGTTTTCTTCAATGAAGCCATTGGTTGAGTTTTTCTAAAGCTATTAATACACTATGAACCCTATGACCTTGTATCTCTATAAAATACTATGCAAAATTACAGAAACTGAAAGGATATTCTTCCAAATTAACATCAGTTTACTTGAGAAATGAGATGACCCGTATTTTTATTTTCTTTTGGGCCTTTTTCTATATTTTTGATATTTTCTGTCATAAGTATGGATTATTTTTATATCCAGAAAAAGAGCCAATGCAGGTGACAATCATGAAACAGCAAAGGAAGCTCACCAGCACAACACGGTTCTAGATAACTTAGCAGCACCCCTCACTCTGCTCCAAATCCTGGAGGGAGAAGTTGAGCGACTGTGACACAGCCAAGCAGAAAAAGAACAGCAAGCAGCTCCGATTCTCCTGGTGCTTGTGTGCCTTACCTGTGATTTTGATAGTACATTCTGGCATATTCTTCCTTGACCTCTTCTAGGCTGTTTGCGTTCCCATCCTCCAGGAAGAAGGCTTCTATTGGGGATTGGAAGGTCAGGATCACAAGGGGTAAGAGAGTGGTCTGGTGACCCCCGAGCCCACCCACATTCAGAGCTAGCTGCCTCCTCTTCTTCTAGATGCCAGGGAGAGCACTAGGCCAGAGAAAAGGGCTTCTTGAACCGGCTCTTCTCCATCAAGATATCAGAAGTATCACTTATTAAACCCAAATTCCGTTCCAGCCATCTTTCTGGGTACCAAGGAGGGAGCCGGATTCTGCTCTTTGCTGTTGAGTCCGACGGGCGCCAGTACGGTTCTTCTCTGGCTCGCAAGATGAGATCAGGAAGCTTCCCCAGAACCCCAACATCTCAACAGACAGATGACTGCCTGTCCTTCCAGGCTGCAAGCTCCTGGAGGGCTGGATGTGAATCTCATCACACCCCCGGACCAAGCACAGCACCTGGCACACAGTAGGACCTCAATACATGTCACCTCGCTAGGTTTAACCCAATGGGTTTTCAACAGACAGGTAAACTAGCGCCCCCTGGTGGCAGGTAGGGACCTATTACCTTTCAGCTTCAGCAGACTGTCCAAAGTGTGTTCCAGGTCCTGAATATGAGTCTTCGCCTTATTTAAAACCTGCCACTGAGAACAGAGACAGACAATGCTGACATGCTGGCCTTCCACTGCAGGGGCTGGTTTGTGGACCCCAGAGGACCCTCCCTGCACAAGGCAAGTCTCTGACCTTGTTGGTAAAAAGAACAAGAAGCTCGTTCTGATGCCAAGAAGGCAAGACATTTTCCTCTGAATCCTGGAAACTGTGCTTGCCAAAATCCTAAAGCTTTGGGAGATAATTAAGCTGAAAGAAGGCAAATAAGTCTTTACACCACTTGAAGGTAGGGTTAATGGTGACAGAAGGCTCTGAGAATGAATATTTGCCCATCACCCCAGTAAATGTGCTATTCTAACAGGATATTTTTATTTGCTAGGTGCATACACACCAGAAGAGCTAAAATCTTGGCCTCAGCTTGGAACTCTAAATATCCTGTCCCGCAAGACTCACAGGTCGCCTCCTACCTCCTGCCTTTCTTTCTCCTTTTCTTCCTCTCATCCTCCCTTCTCCTCCCTCTGTGACCCTCCCGCCCCCCCTGCCCCCCCTTCCTTCTCTCCTGTATAAAATATCACCACAGTCAAAATGGTAACTGCAAGATTATTCAAAAATGAGAAACTGCAAGATTATTCAAAAACCAAGGTCTGAGAGGGGGGTCAGCCCCCTTAGCAGCTATGGACCAGGTATGGCCTTCAAGAAATAGCATGCTGACTCAGAAAACCAAGGCCCAGCTTGCTCAACAACATGGCTATCTCACTCCTAAATAGAGGAACAAACCAAAAACCCAGCACACAAACCACATCCCCACCTGTTTAGAACTGGCCCCTGATAGAGGTGTTCAGCCTATTCTGAGAGCCTATTCATTCTGTTTGTGTGCTGCCCACCGGCCCCATCAGGAGTGCCAGCCACACATCAGGCCTGTCTCTAAGCCCCGGGCTCATGGGTCAATAAGACTGCCCTGCGTCCAGGTTAGTGGATGTGCTAGCAGGGATGACAAGCACGGCAGCCACTGCTTGTAACACCAGCTGGAATCAAGTAAGTGCCACAAAGGGCTAGAAGCAAAGGGCCGTGGAAACGCCTGGGAGGAGGGAGTGATTCCAAATGGAGGGCTGGAGAAGACACTAGAACAGGGCAACTGAGCGGAGCAAGTCGAGCTGAGCTCCAAAGTGCACACAGACTCTCAAGCTGCAGGAGCAAGGGCAGAGGCTGGGCACGCAGGCCTCACACAGGTTGGGTGGCGGGAGGGGATGCTGACGCCTGCAGGCGGCCGGGGGTCATCCTTCCAGATTCAAGCGGATTCTGCCTAGTGAACAAAATGGAGGTTTGAAGGGAGCTAGAAGCAAGCACTCTCCTGACCCAGAGGACAGCAACGTGAGAATACAGGTGATTGCAGACTCCACATCTGGTTCACTTGACGTCCCACGCAGTCTGCTGCCCCAGCGCCCCCAGTCCTGGGGCTCATGGTCACTCTGCTGGGCCAGCAAGGACTCCGATGCCTCCTCTGTTGCCAGGGCCACTTGTTTCTGGTCAGGGTGTGGTCCAGGGCTGTTTACCGGCGCCGGCTCAGCAGGCCCACACCGCACTCACATCAGTTAGCAGGCAGGGCCAGGAAGCCAGGCACCATTCCTTGAAACTCTGTTTCTAGAATGTTTTTGACAGGCTGACATCCTCAGCACCTCTGTTCTGGGTAGAATTGTGTTCCCTCAAATAGACTTGTTGAAGTCCTAATTCCAGAACCGTGAATGGGGACTAATTTGTAAACCAGGACTTTAGAGAGGTGGTCAAGTTAAAATGAGGCCAGCAAAGCCCTAACCCAATGTGACTGGTGTCCTTGTAAACAGAGGACATTTGGATGTAGAGCCGACCCACACTGGGAAGGTGATGTGAAGACACAGGGCAGGAGGAACAGCATCTGTGAGCCATGGAATGCCAAGCTTTGCTGGAAAATGCTAGAAGCTTAAAAAGGAATAAGAGTCATGGCCCCCTGGACCCCTTGACGTGGGACTTCCAGCCTCCAAAACTGTGAGACGATACATTTCTGGTGTTTGAAGTTACCAGCTTCTGGCATTCAGTCCTCGGAAACCAACGTGACCTTGCTACACCGACACGCTGGGGAAAAAAAATCTTTTCTTCATGGGTGCTACAAATGCAGAATTCAGGGTTGTCCCTCAGGCAGAGAGAGGAGAAAATGGAGCTGACCTGGTTTCTAGACTGTCCCCGGGCTGTGCCATTCCAGGCAAATTAACTTTCTGCAGCCTCGGGTTTCCTCATCAGTAAAATGTGGGTGATATGAAAAGAGCAAGCGAGGTCACACCTTGGGAAACGATACTAACATTTGAACCCCTTATGACAGAGCTACAGCTTTTCATGCAATTATCATATTAACCTCCCCATCAGGCCTCGGAGGACCCATCTGTCCCCGGGTAGTCGCGGTGTTAACTGAAGCTTAGCAGCTAACTGGCCTCACAGGAACCACGGCCAGATAACAGCCGGGCTCTCCACCATGACCTATGGAGGTACAGATTTTCGGGGGTGCAAATGATTTTCCTCTCCATTTCCTCCCACTTCCCACTGGCGGCCCTGAATGCCGTTGCTGGTGGACTTGCTGCTGGGCACACTACTTTGGCCACTGACAGGGCCTCTGGGGTTTTATCACACCCACAGGAGACATCTGCCCCCTCCAGGGGACATGGCAGAGCTATGTCCAGGTTCTTTGCTGTGAGGTCAAGATATAGGATGTTCCCCACCCCGCAGACCCGAGCCCTTAGTTCTGAGCCCCTGGAGCTGGCTCAGCATCCAGCCTCAACAGAGAAAGGAAGAGCAGCACATCCCTCCCCTCTCACCCCCCACTTTCCACCTCACCCTCTGCAAGGGCAGGAGGGTCTCCATTAAGACTCTTCAGTTAAACACAAATGTGGTCCTACTTGGAACCTGCATGGGCTGTTCAGGGGGCGCCTTCCCCTAAGGGCCACGAAGACCCTGACCCACCACGGAGCTCTCCCACCCCTGCCCCCGCCCTCGACCAGGATCCTGCACCAGCCCGTAAGCAGGAAGCACATCATCCTTGCAATGAGCCACCCTGCTGAAGGGCCCCATGCAGGAAGGGCCTCGCGTGAGCCGGAGCCTCCGGTGTAGAAAGGATGGTGGGAAGAGAGCGAAGCTGGAGCCAGAAACTGGGGCTACCTCCAATTTAGTTCCTGCCAGCAACTCAGGGACCAATCTTCTCCTACTTCCTGCAATGCTTCCTCCCTTTGTACTACCACCCAAGCCTTCCCTGAGGCACTGCCAGAGACCCTGGTCAGCAATAAAGACAGCCGTGTAGACCAAAGAGGTGAGATTAAGAGCAGGGAAAGATAAGGCCACTTGCTTAGGGCCAAGGCCTGGCTGCGCCCCAGGCTGACAGTGTGCCCGGCTGTGGGTGTGGGTGTGTATATGCTGTATGGGGGGATGAGGGGCCTGGGAGCAGCTGGAGGCTCACCTAGGCCCACGACAAGGTGAGGCACAGACGCCACTGGTTAACCGGGTCTCTCAGGCCCGATGTTTCCCTTCTGACCAGGCAGCAGGTGGGTCAGGCCCGGCTCTCAGGCTTCACCCACGAGTGGCAGCAGAAAGCACCGTGAAGCATCCACAGCTGAGGGCTGACCCCACCTCGGCTGCAGCCCTTGGGGGTGGCACTGGTCGGGGTGACAGCTCCAGGCCTGTCCCCACTGGATCCTACCTTTGAGGCTGTGAGTTCAGACTGGGAGTAGACGGTCTCCCTGAGCTTGGAGAAGAGCCCAGCCAGGGTGGCCCGGTGGCGGGCCTGGGACAGGCGTCTGCGGGCCACTCGGGGCTCGAGCTCCTGCAGCTGTACCTGCGGCCGGGCCGTTGCTCTGCCCCGGGGGTTACTGCCTTCTTCAGCCGTCGCCATTGGTAGCTGCAACATAAGATTAGGTTTGGGGAGGAGGCTCAAAATGATGAAGATGTAGTATTAAGGAAGACAAGCAGAAAAGGGGATTGACTCCCAAGTAAAATGTCTCAAATCGATGAATATCATCGAGATTCAGAGTCAGTAACTGATGACACAACATCTATTATGTCAGCTCCTCTCCTAAAAACACAAGCCACTGACTCTTGACTTAAGTGGAGGGCTGCTGCTGTCTTATACCAGGAAGTTTCCAGAACATTACAGGTACTCCGCAGACATTTGGTCACTGATTGCTGTGACCAAGGAGAGTAAACCACACCCCAGGACCTCATTCCTTACTATTAAAAACTGATGAGGGGTGTGTTGTTCTTGGCCTTCTTTCCTGTCTTAAGAATGCGCTGCTCTTTGGGGGGCCTCCCTGGTGGCACAAGGGGCTAAGCACCGCGCTATGAAGCAATACGCAGCCTCTGCAGCACGAGTTCGATCCTGGCTGGCCAGGGAGCAACCCACATGGCGCAGCAGACCTCTCCTGTCTCGCCCACTGCTCCCCTCAGCAGTGTATTTCAGTCAATCTGCCTGTTCTTTTTTTTTTTTTTTTTTAAAGATTTATTTATTTATGCATACAAGAGCTGGGGTACAGGCCAGAGATGCGGGATGTAAGAGGACTCACCAGAGACAGAGCGGGGACCAGAACAGGCAGACTGAATGAAATACACTGCTGAGAGGAGCAGCAGGTGAGACAAGAGAGGTCTGCTGCACCATGTGGGTTTCTCCCTGGCTGGCCAGGGATCAAACTCATGCTGCAGTGGCTACATATTGCTTCATAGTGCAGTGCTTAATCCCTTGCGCCACCAGGGAGGCCCGGGTCTGCCTGCTCTGTTCCCTACTCTGTCTCTGGTGAATCCTCTCACCCCCATGCATCTCTGGCCTGTACCCCAGTTCTTGTGTGCATAAATAAATAAATCTTAAAAAAAGAGTAAAAGAAAGAATGCACTGCTGTTTGGGCTGCATAGTGATGACTGGAGTCTAGACATAGGATAAAAAATCCAGCGTGTACACTCTACATTTGCTAACTTCCCTGTATATCTATTTATCACACTTGGAACAGCAAATGGGAGAATGAACTCTTCTCCCTGTGAAAGTGAAAAGTCACGTGTCCATGAGACGTGGAATTGGGTATGTCTGGTCTTGCTTCTAGAGGGCTCTAAAGATGGTACATGTCACTGGAGTGACATAAGCCTCTTCCTTAGAAGAGATTCTGGGACTTAGAAGTAGCCCTTTTAACCAGAAACGGGGTCCAGGGTCTCTTCTTGCTTGAACCATGGACGGAGGTTGGATGCTCACCCACCACCCAGAGAAAACGTTCCCGTCTCTGCTCTACTGCCTCTGTCAACAGAGGGACTGTCTCCATCACCTCTGTGTCCCAGCTGGCACTCACTGCTGGGGCTTTGAGTGATTTGGAATGAGGGGGTCTCTGCGACCCCACTTTCCTCTAATTCAGTCCTGGGCACAGGGACAAGGCATGGCCTGGGTCAGCATCTGCTGGGGAGGCTGGGAAGATGCACCTGCCTTGAAACCCCTGGATCTGGGCTCACTGGGGTGGCCCCGGGCAGCTGGTGGGCAGCATATTCCTGGGTGATTCTGAGACTCTACCTGGGTCTACATCCCCATAGAATTCTCAAATAGCCATGGCTCTTCTCCTTTGAGAGAAGAGCAAGGGAGGAGGCAGAAGAAAACTTCCTTGCCGCGGACCAGCACAGCAGGGGGAGGTGCAGCACTTCATTTTAGGGAGAGAATGGCCACAGAGACAGTGATGTGGGACTTCTGACCTTTTGAGGTCAGAAAGCAAATCTCCCACCAAGGATAAGCTCTTCACCAGCGTCTTCTTTCCTTGGGTTAGCTCTCAGAATGGTGGCAGGAAAACACACGTGGCTCATTGACCCCTGTCAGGGAGTCAACATTTATTAGCAGGAGCTACAGCACCCGGGTGGGGAGGTCAGTGTGCAATCTGCCGCAGCCCTTCCAGCCCAGGCCTCGGTTACATCAGCTGTCACACCTTTATAGTCTGCAATTTCCAGATGCCAACAAATCTTCCATGGGAACCAGTGAAAGTTTTGAGCTGCCTCGGGGGAGAGGAAAGCCTTTTGAACCCAAGAACACAGGTTTTCTTGTTTAAAGAGAAATGAATGTGCCTGGACACCAGGGCATGTCAACATGTGAACAGAGGTGAGTATACCACGATCTGAAACCTCTAGCAGTCTAGGAATACTCTACCAAAGGCCTTTAGGCTAGTGGGGAACCTGGAGCTCTCCCAGTGCCAACACCCACTATCCCGTTTCCTTCCAGGCTTCTGCCCCAACACACTCCTGGAATGTCTGGATGGCTGTGCAGCTGGACACACGGATAAGGGTGCAGGCCTTTGCCTTGCCTATAGGGGGCGGCCCTGACTGCAGTTGTTAGGGGTAAAGGCAGAGCCATGGCAATCCCGCCGGCTGCTTGGAACTGTGACCTCCACTTCACCCCATTTGGCGACCCCCTCTGTCAGGAGCTGGGAGACAATGGGAGAAACTTTCCACTCTGCTTTAAGGGGAGAATCAAGCCACAGAGATGTTGAACTTGGTTTGACCTCATGCAAGTTTTAAATCTCCTACACATAGGGCCTCCCTAGTGGCCTGCCACGAAGGCCTGAGTTCGAGCCCCAGGCAGGGAGCTACCCACGTGGCGCAGCAGACCTCTCCTGACTTGCCCGCTGCTCCCCTCAGCAGTGTATTTCAGTCAGTCTGCCTGTTCTGCTCCCTGCTCTGTCTCTGGTGAATCCTCTCACCCCCCTGTGCATCTGGCCTGTACCCCAATTCTCTTACGCAAAAATCAATACAATCTTTAAAAAATAATAAAAAATAAATACCCTACCCATAAGTGCTACATCCTACTTGCCACTGGGAATAACTTGCTGATTCCCCGAAGGCATCTTCTCTAGCTCCCTGTATTGACCTGCACGTGACCCTGACAGGGCTATTTTTAGGCCAAGCTTTTGGTGGCAATGACTGTGAGACCTGTCCTGCCGGGCCCTGTGATCCCCGTGAGGGCATGGCTCAGCCAGGACAAGTGCCACCGCCCAGGCTTGGATAGGGGAAGGGAGGGAGCACGGGACTCTCCTTCCACCTTCCCGGGTTGGCATTCTCCCAAGGAATGGGGATCTATACAAAAACGAGATCAAGAAGTGACCTTTCATTTAAAAGCAAAACAAAAACAGAAAGAAAAAACTTTTTTCCCCTAAAAACCCTATGCAAGTACAAAGCTTGTGCAGAAAACTTTCCAAAAGTATAAGGAACTGGAGCTGTGTGGAGAGCATAGGCTGAGACCCCCTCTGGGAGAGGCCCGGGGGCTGAACACTGCATTTGGACGGTCTTGTCAGCACCTCACATTTCTCTTTCCTACACTAACAAAAGACACTTTGCTCTCCTGCCCAGGCTCGCTGCTTTTCCTCCCACCCAGAATGCTAACCCCCTCTCCGCTCCCCACTCCCACCCTCATCGATCTGTAGAGTCAAGTTGTCCCTCAGTTCCCTGTTCAAGTCCCCATCCTCTAAGAAGTTTCCAGGTCCCCATCCACATGGCTTCTAACTTAATCTTGTTTTGCCAACAAATCACTAAGTTCCTTGGTCAGGATCCTTGGGTCCCAGCGTCCTGGTGCGTGGGATGAATCCACACTCCCTTCCCTGCCTGCTTCCCCTGGACTGAAACTGCTAAGCCTCCTCGTGCTTGGACAGTTAATTAAGACAAGATCTTCCAGGCATGGGGATGAGCAGAAGCCTGGGGTGAAAGAATAGCAGCCAGTTCCATCTGCGTCGGAAGCTTTTGCCACCTCATGGATTCTGTTCTTGGAAAGAGTCACAGGGCCAGGTACACATTTGATGCACTTGTAAAAGCTCTCCCAGGTGATGCTGGCCAATTGCCCGGGGTTTGCCCTGCAGAGCCTCACTTGACTCAGGAGCCTGGGCATGTTTGGAGGGTTGGGAAGGTTAGAGCGTCTGAAGCTCTGAAGCTTATGAGAAGTGAGGAAATTCAGTGCAGACATGGTGGGTGGGAGGAAGCCAGTGCTAAGGATCTGGGGTGAGAGGACTACCCCATCGCCGGAGTGAACTGGGACACCCAGATTGCAGATTGGCTGGAACCTGGGTGGCGGCCTTAGCTCTATGGTAACCGGCCATGTGACGTCTTTGCTGAGGCTGTACTTTCTTTCCTTGATAAAGGGGGTGAAGAAGTCTGTAAGTAGATTAAAATTTGAATTTTTTGCCCTCTGTCAGGTCACTGCCACAGGTCATTCTGTGGAAACTGGGGACCGGAATAATGCTAAGAATGACACTAGTTTGACATATTTTCCCTTTTAAAAACTTGTCCCTACGCTCAAATCCATTCATCAGCTCAACTTGCTGAGCAAAACCTTCCGTTTAGGGGAGTGAGAAGAGCTTCTCAGGCGTTCTTTGAAAAAGGCATTTTGTGAAGATTCATACTGTCACGCCTCATTGAATTACTTCTTGTTCATAAAGCACAGCGTTTTCCCTACCAAATACCTCATGAAAACATCACATCATCCTTGCTTAGAGCTGACATTTAAAAACACTCCCTAGACTCAATAAAAATACGACCTCACCCTCTTCGAGCCTGAGAAATTTTCAATCATTTTAAAGGCTTGTTCCACAAAGCATTTGCATGTCACCCATTCTGATCGGCACACCCTAGGCAAATGCACACGACACACTGGGTCACGTCCTGGAAGGGGCAGGCAGCTTCTGTGGTCCCCTGGGCTTATCAGATGATATATATATATATATATATATTAAATATCCAAAATCATTCCTAGAAGTATGTAGGTGGTCACGGTAATACATACAAATACTCATATTAAAGGCTTGCCATAGACCTAAATGTTTACCTATTCGGATATAGGGCTTGAATCCGCTCACCTGCACATAAACACCTATATGTACATGAACACCTGTGTGCACATAGTCTCCCAGAAGGCCAAGAGCATCTTTCTGTGTTTAATCTAGCGAGTACTCACATACGAAGGAAGGTGGGCCCTGGGCACAGACGTCCTTACTCCCTGGACACCAGGCAGCCCAGAGGGTGGTGACTGGTGACAGAGTCACCTGCCTAGGGCACCAGTCAGAGTGAGGCTGTCAAGGGCCAGAAGACAGACTACCACACAGGGTAAGGACCAATCACAGTGTGCCCCTGTACCCCAAGCCAGTGGGGAGCCACCTCCACCGGCCAATGAGAGTGGGGCAGTGGGAGAAACAAAGTAACATGTCTGAAGGCAGAAGGGCACAAACAGAAGGCAGGAGATAGGAGAAAAGGGCAGGGCTGACCTTCTCACCTCATAGGCTGGCTCCTTGAAGGGTCATGGAGGGTAACCCGTGTCACCTCAGGTGGCCTGTGTGTGCCCTCAGAGGCTAAATGGATGTCCTCTGACTGGTGCCCCTCACCTGACATCTAGGCCAGGTACCTTCATCCCTCTAAAGGGGACAACAATGCCTGCCTTCTAGGGTTCTCCTGAGGCGTAGAGACGACCCCTCAGATAGAGTCCAGAGCACAGGCTCCATGTCTCAAGAGGAAAGACGAAAAAATGTGGACATCAGGAAATCGAGTCTCATCGAAGATGGGACAGGAGAAGGGTATTTTAAACCAGGATTGAGGAAATGGGAGAAGAGGCACATGAGGGGCTGCTCAGAGGACAGCTGTGAGTGCTCCCCTTAAAACGTGAAGAAAAAAAGAAAAATTGTTTACTCTGAGATAGTTGGGAAATGATATTCTTTCAGCTTTGGGAGTGAAACCCTTTTTATCCCTCAAATTCAGATAGACTCTTGTCTTTAGGCCTCTTTCACTTGAGCCCCTCCACCCCTAAATATTTCCTGATGATCAAGCTTCCACTCCAGCTTTGAGAAGGAGCAGCAGCCCTTGGGGGGGTGCTGACCTCTCTTTGACCTGAGCTAGCAACTTCACCCCAGGTCAGGGGTGAAACAGAGGCCACAGGCTCAGCCTGTGGTGGGGTCTGGATTTGGATTCACTTGCAGTGACCGTGGGCTCCATGAGGCAGGCCCACTAAACCGTGCCCAAAGGGGCATATGGTGGACACTCCTGGAATTCAGCTTTGCTGAGTGACAGATTTGCTTGAAAAGAGTTTTGGTGGGACATTAAATTCAACAAGGTTTTATGTGTAAAGTAACCGTCACAGAGAAAGCACCCAAAAGAGTCCATTCTCCTTCTCCCTTCCAGAAACATGTTAGATGACCATTTCAACCCCAAATTCTGTCCAAGTTGAGAACCTGTCCCTTCTGCCTCTCAGGCAGCCGTTGACCTCAATCTCTGAGGGAATTTTTTCCCCTCACCGCCATGACTCTCCCACCCTCCTGCTCTCCCCTGGCTCTGCTCCTCGGCTCCCAGCACCAGCCCCAAGGGACCCATTGGAGAGAGGGCACCCAGGAGTCTGTGTGCCTGACTTGGAGAGCTTCTCCTGCCCACAGAGAGGCTGCCGACAAATTCTGAAACAAGTCTGCCTTAGGCTTTCATCTAGACCCCCTCTTCCTCTCCACCACCACACACTCATAGATCTGCCTTCCTGAATGCTTCATTGGGGAGCAGATGAAGAAGAAATGCAGTCCTGGGAGCAGTAGTGGGGGGCTCTTACTAAGATGCTTCCTTACCTGAGGCAGCCAGATTTCTGTATTGAAAATGAAGATCTCCTATCCACCTCAGTGATCCTTCTCCACCCCTGTGAGGTGGAAGGCTCTGCTCAAGAGCCCACTGCACCTCCTAGTGGCCTATTACCAACTTTGGATACAGTCAGAATTCTCCCCACAGCATGCACACAATACCTCACCTTCTGACCCTGGCCCCTCCTTCCTAGTAACACAGATGCTGGCCTGAAATGCTCCACCACAGTACACAGATCCTTCCTTGAAATATGTCCCTCAGAATAGCATGGATTCTGTCTTGAAATACCCCCTCAGAGTAGCATAGACCCTAAACTAAAATACTTCCCTCTCTTTACCAGTTTGAAAGCACCCACTTCCCCTACGCAGCTCAGCAGCAGAAAGCACGAAGCTACATAAGATACCTACGTTAATGCCAACCCAGCATGGTGACCCCGTTCCGTGCCCCTCAGCCCAGAGTGTATGGTCCAAGGAACATTCTCCATTGTTGGTTTCTGTACTGCTTGTGATCAAGGGCAGGGGCCTCAATGCTATTATCTTTCTATCTTTCAAACAAAATGAGAGATGGATTGTGTATTGAATATCTACTGTGTTCTAATCCTCATGGACAACCTTATAAAGAGTTTTATTTTTATTTTATGGAGGGGGAAGCCAGATTCAGGGAGGGGCAGTGAGTTGCTTACATCTAAGTACCTAAGTTTCTCTCTGGCCCTCTGCCCTTGGTGCCTTCTTGGATGACGTTTAATTCAATGAATACCAACTGCCTTGGGCTAAAGAGACATTTGCATGATTTTATAAGTTTCAGAACAAGACCTTCAGGTTTGAACTGAAGGTCTGTGGACAGTGGCTCTGAGGGAGCAGTGGGAAGGTGGAGGTCAGCGGAAGGGCACGCTCCCACTCCCATTAGGGGCTCCTGGGCATTTCTGCCAACAAGAGTTTCAGACAAACCCTGAAGCTTTGCTTGTCAGTCCCTGACATCTGCTCTGCACAGCAGCAGCTTTGGCTTCAAGGATCAGCTATAATAAGGCAAGTTCCGTTATGGGGAGGTGGCACTGCAGGGACAGTAGGACTGGCCACTTTCTGCTAGAGGAGGGCAGATGCATGACCCCCAAGGTCATGTCCCAGGGAGAGTGTGCCCACCCTCCTCTAACCTCCGGAGTTAAACTCCAAAGGGCTCAGGGCCCAGCATCATGACTTAGTATTAACCAAGAGACTTTCTTCTGGGGCTTCTGTTTTAAGGTTTTAAAACAGAAAGTGCTTTGAAATGCAGAGAGAGCTATACACATGTTGATGAAGAAAGCTGAGACTTGAAACTATAAGCCTCTTAGGCAAAGGTGAAGGGAAAAATCTTTTTTTTAATATCATTTTATTTATTTTTATTAATTTATCAATTTTTTTCTTACATCATTGTAATTCCCATAGTTCTCCCGCCACCATATGACCCTCGAACCATCACCGCATTCCCTCATGTTCTTCCCTTCCCTGTTTTTGTAACAAGGTGGTCCCCAGGAAAAGGGGAGTTTCCAGGTTACTTGCCCCACCCAAGGGAGGGTGGAGCTGAGCAGGGAGGAGAAGAAGCTGGAGAGGAGAATGGGGAAGGAAGGAAGCAGGATGGGGAGCAAGGAGGAGACCTGGAGGAGGCACATGTAGTAGAGACACGTGAAGAAGCCACGCTTGCTTCTTGGTCCTGGCCTGGTTGAAACAGATGTGGGTGAGAGACCCGTGGGGAGGTTCACAATGGCAGCTTCTTTTTTTTTTTTTTTTTTGTGGGACCCTCGCCAGTGGCCAGGGAATGAACCGGCAGTGCAGAGGCTGTGGGCAGCCTCGCAGCCCAGCACTCAACCACTGCGCCAACAGGGAAGGCCCACACAATGGCAGCTTTTATCTTGATTTGGATTTTGCTCTTTTCCTCCCAGACTTGTCTGGCTGTTTCTGACCCTTTTCTATGGGTCCCTGCCCAGAGGGTGCCTTAGATGTGAGGCAGGCTATTGGGCCTTGCTTTGGGCCAATCCTGTTTGGCTGGGCATTTACCCACGAGGAAATGGGAATGTAAATTGGTGCAGCCACTAAGGAAACTAGTATGATGTTTCTCAAAAAATACAAATAAAACTACCATATGAGGGCCTCCCCGGTGGTGCAGTGGTTGAGCGCTGGGTTGCGAAGCTGCCCGTGGCCTCTGTGGTGCCGGTTTGATCCCTGGCTGCTCCCCGGCCACCGGAAGAGGGTCCCACATGGCGCGCAGACCTCTCCTGCCGCCTGCTGCTCCCCTCAGCAGTGTACTTCGTCCTTCTGCCTGTTCTGCTCCCCGCTCTGGCTCTGGTGAATTCTCTCACCCTCCCGCACTTCTGACTGTACACAGTGCATGTATAAACAAAACAAACAAACAAATAAATAATAATAAAAAAAATGCCTCTACCAAAAAAAAAAAAACTACCATGTGAGCCAGTAATCCCATTTCTGGGTATTTACTTGAAGAATTTGAAAAAACACTAATTCGAAAAGATACAGGTACCCCTATGTTTGTTACAGCACTTTCACAATAGTTAAGATAAGGAAACAACAGGTGAATGGATAAAGAAGATGTGGTATATATACAGTTATAAAAAGAAAAGACGAAATCTTGCCATTTACAACAACATGGAATTTTTTTTTCAAAACTCATCTCTTTCTGATTTATTCAAAAGTTTTATATTTTCTTACCATTGTAGAACTCGTCCTCAAATTTTATTTTGTTTTTTTTTCCATCTCCTTTGTAGGCATCTCATAGTTTAACTAGTGCAAGTTTCAATTTGTTTATGGTTGACTAATATATATATATATATATATATATATATTTTCAATTTTTCACAATTATGCTAGTGCTTTCATTTGTAGCATAGTATTTAACATAGATTTTAATTTTTATTATTTTTTTAATTTTAATTTTATTTTTATATTCCCCATACAATTGCAACCCCCTTATTTTGACCCCAATCCCTCCTTTCCCCGCCCCCCCCCCCCATAGAGTGTCTCTGGTTCACAGTTGTTTGTTGATTTTGATTTTTACTTTCTTATAGTTATTCTTTTTCCTGGTCCCTTATTTAAGTTTTCTAGATTCCTGCTATGAGTGAGACCATCCGGTATTTTTCTTTTTCTTTCTGGCTTATTTTGCTGAGCATGATCCCTTCCAGCACCATCCAACATGAATGGAATTTGAGGGGGTTATGCTAAGAGAAATAAACCAGGAGAAAGAAAAATATTGTAAAGATTTCACTCATTTTTGGAATATAGTGGATTTTAATTCTTTTGAGATGGATTAAGGATTTGTGGACTGATATGTGGTCTATCCGGGAAAATGATTCATCTGCAATTAGGAAGAATTTGTGAATTCTCAGTTGCAATAATATAACTTAACTAGCATTGGAAAACTTCTTCCAATACAGGACTGTTTCTTCCCATTCCTTTTGCTACTATTGTCATGTAAATGGCATCTTTAAGGCACTTTGACACAGGTCTATAATT